TCCTACACCAGAAGAAAATGAAGGTTCTTACTCAGCAATACTATGAAGAAAGTGAAAAGACCCCAGGGTCCTTTAAACCTTCATATAAAGATAGTTTAGATAATTTCCATTACACAGACTTTTAAGGAAATTCATAACCCTTTAGTAGTAATTGTTAAGATTTTAATAAAAGTATCCAAGCATATTACTGAATTGAAATGTAACCTTGGAGACACACTGACATACTGTCCAACAAGGCATAGTTATTTAAAGGGTGTCAAGTACCTCAGTAATGGGACTGTTGACAAAACCATTCATTTAAAATGTAACACAAAAGCCTACATAACAATGCTTACCAATTTGGTTATTAGTCCACCAAAAAGAACACACAATTACACTCAGTTCCTGATATGATAAAGAAATTTTAGTTCTGTGCCCTCCTCTCTAGGGCAAAGTTTAACACTGATATAAGACCCTAAGACTTTGTTAGCACATAACCCCGTTACCTATTATTACTGGATTATTCTGCTCACTGATAATAGTTATCTTCCTTAAGTAACTATTCATTAGCAAATTGAAGTTTTAGTTGTTTAAGGGAGAAATGCTACCAACAAAATGAGTAATTATCAAAATGAATGTTCACATGGAAACTTACCTTATTTACAAACACATTTATGTTATCCCATAATTTGGTAAAAGAGTAAACATTTCTGAATATTTCTGAGAATTAGAGAATCTAATTTGGAATTAGTTTATATGTAATAAAAGACTTAGATTTCTGCTATTAATAAGTTCATCTTAAGTAGACAATTCGAGAATAAACTGATATAACAGCTATGAAACACTCAAGTGTTTTCTAGAAGTACTATAGTCAATAAAAGTTGAGCTGTCACATTAATTTACTGAAACCAGGTGTTAAAAAGCCAGAGATTCACTCGGTTTTCCCATTTTTGCCTTCTTACAGTTTAAAAACAAAATTAAAGACTCATTTAAATTTCCCAATGAGCATTCCTTTAAAAAGCTCCCCAACTCTTTAGCTCTAAGGTTTGATACACTCTAATCTTATGGTTGAAAAGATCAGTGATGTAATGTTTTTCTCTTGAAAATAAAAGTTTGCATACTCCTATCAGGCCATAATCAGACTCATGAAAGCAAAAATCCTGAAAAATTGTAGGGCACATTGCCCTACAATTTTTCCTCCTTTAATAACTGCTTCTGACACTGAAAGAATTAAAGATACCCCAGCATCAAGAAGTGGTATCGTCTAGCTCGCTATCCTTATTTTACAGATGAAATATCACAAACCCCAGACCACCCTTCCCCAAATAAGGCTAAACAAAACAAAAAACAGCTGAGTTCAGAATAGTGATGCAATTAGGAAGGTCAACACAGAAAATTATCCAGAAATAAACACAAGTACTTATTAGACACAAACCACCTAGAGAAAAGGAATGCTTTTTAACCATTTTATTTTTTTTTCTAATTTTGTGTTAATTTCCCATAGCACCTTGGCAATGTTGAAAACAAAAATACAATACAAGGATGTACTCATTTTAACATAATATGCATGAGCATGTGTCATACCATTTTGGGGGGTGGGGGCAGTTTTGACAACACAAACAAATCTAAGCAATGGGCAAAATAAAAGCAAGATTACTGGTTCTGATCCTGCTTCCCAAAACATTTAAGAGATACCACTCAAGAAATACCTGAATCAGGCTGGGGGGGGGGGTGGAGGTGGGGAGGTAAGGTGGATGTGTCTTTTATATATACTAATCACTGTTTTTTTGATAAAAATAAAACCATATATATAATATATATGGCTTGTTGATAGCTGAGTCGTACTTTTAGGATCTACTCAGTGATTATTAAAAGTCCTCAGCCTATAAAAATAAAATTTAAATTCCAAAACTCAGGTGAACTTTAAAAAGGGAATTTATTCTCAACTTGTAAACAAACTATCTTTCAGCTGCTTACAATGTCCTCATTTAGCTAATGGAAACTGAAATGTTTATGTATCTTCTTGGAAGCTCAGACTAGTTAAATTAGCATACACCAAAAAGCCTTAAATTAAATTAATGGCCACCAAAATGTAAGGAAATATAAAAAATTAGAAAGCCATCATATATGATAGCTAAGAATTTAAAGAAGTCTTTCAAAAGCAATACAATGGCCTGTTTTCCCTTTGACCTATTCTGAAAAACAAGCAAAATGGGTACTTTAAAAATATGTTCAAATACTTGGCCAACACAAATATTACAGACTCAACTCCAGTGCTATTCAACTGTCTCAAAGTAAAACCAGTGGACATTTAAGCCAAAAGACTAAATATTAAGGCCATAACTAATAAAACTAGAGAAAGTGTTCAATAACTTTAATACTAGTTTCTGCTACAGCAGAAAAATAAATACTACTTTCTGCTCCTTATTTTCCTTTACACTAGTGAAGATGCTAACACTCCATTATTTAGTCATTTGCAAAGCTAACCTGGTAATTTAAAAAGAAAAAGGAATGTGAAACAAGATTCAAGTTACCTTAATTTTAGAAGCAAAATGAAATCAAAACTTTGCACGTTCTTTGATCACACAAGATCAGCGTAAGATGACAACAAACCCAGTATCACTGAAAGATCTCATCTTCCAAAATCCAGTTGATAAAAAATTTAGATGGATCACTTTTGAACAACCAGTGTCTATATTTGCAAAAATGAAATTACAAAGATTAGAGATAGGCCCTAGATATCATGAAAACCTTATGAGGACTCAAAACAGAGATAGGATTTTGCACTATCTCTATGTACCCTCCTTCATGAAGTACAAGGTGATGAACTTGTGTGACTCTTGTTTTCTTCATGCAGTAAGAACTATGGCAGGAGATCACTGTACCATACATTCAATCATTAATCAATATATTTACTTTTAGCCTCCAACAACCCAAGGAAGTGTTAAGTCATAAGGTGAAGAGAAAATTTTGACATTTAAATCATTCCATCTACAGAATCAAATAAATAGTTGGACTACTATGAATACCCAACCCTTATCAGTTACAGAGTAACTCTGGAAGAAAAGCCAACAGTTTCACACAACTCAGGCATCATTTAGATACAAACCTTAAATCTGTTGTAATAAAATAAATGCTAAATACATACTGTGAATATATATATGTACATATATATAATACACACAACATAAAATTATTCCTCCTCTATACATCCCATCAAAATGGGAACTATTAACTGTAATAAGGCAAATTAAATTAAAAACACTATATTTTATAAGAAATTTAAAAAGGTCATGTCTTTAATTTTCTTCTTTCAATAACATTTGGGGGAAAGGCGAGAAACACACTTGCTTTCTTCAGAAAGACTCTTTTGTGAATCAATTAGAACATTCAGTTTTTAGAAGTTGGGCAGACAAACATTAAGTCACACAAGCACACAAGTAATACAAACCTACTTTTGTGACATTGTAGAAAAAGGTAATGTTTCATTTTAAGTGCAATAATCAAGTTTATAATCCTTACCAAGTGATTTTTATAAAATATTTATTCTCTTAAATCCAATGCATTCAGAGTGTTAACACTTTAAATGTTTATCATTTCCACCAACTGCAGCATTATCTAAGTAAACCAAAATAAGCACTTTCATTATAGATGTATTCAATGATTATTAATACTTTTTTTCTTTTTTAAAGGACCTAAACTTCCCCCAAATTTCAGCACAGGTAGTTTTACTGTTTCATCTAAAAGATGATTTTTAAAAATAGTGTGCAGAAATGAAGAGTTTCAAACTGCTTAAATATATTATACCATGTTATCAATTCACCAAATCAAAAGCAATTACCAAGCTGAATAATAAGTTACAAAGAAATAATAATTCTGGCTTGTACAGAAATGTGCAGTGTTTTCAAAGCTCTGAACAATTAATTACCTACTAATACAAATCTCCAAAGCTTAACTTAGAGTTGGAAGATGAGTTTCACAGTAATGTAATTTTAACCTCCATTTACATTCATTTTAATATATTACTAAGATGTTTACTCTATGTCACAATGGTGCTTTCCAGTGTTCACAATTTACAGTTACATATGTAATTTACTAACAATAAGGGACAGTTATTACTATCACAAACTATCCCTAAAAAGAAAACAAAACCCCACCTTACAGAGAACTTCTGAAAATAGTATGACTTAAAAACAGATTAATGCAACATGGTTTTTAGTATTTTAGCCATTTTCTAAACACCAGCATATAAACCTGCCTATTTAATATGAGAGCTACAACTTTATTCACTGAGAAATTATGCATTAATTTTCTTCAACTAGCTTTCTCATCTTAACTCAAAACTCTCATGACTTGCTGGTTATGTTTCTGTGAATTCCAAACTGAATTACTTTTATTTTGGAGAAGGGGAAGGTAGGAAGGTGACAATACACTGTAAACAGAAAAAAAAGTTGCTCCCAAATTAAGCCTTTAAAAAAAATTTCTTTTACTTCTACACTATTTAACACTTTAAAAGTCAGTTATGTTTCATTGTTAAAACTAAGACAAATAAATTACTGTAGGATCAGTCTGCCCTACCAATCTGGGATCTAAAATTCTAAATACACAAACAGAAAAGTACAATATTTCAAATTCAGAAATTTAGAATAGTTATATGATTTGACTAGACTGGTTAAAGCAGTTAGAAACATACCATTCTGTAGATGGTTGGTTACTTTTTTTTGGGGGGGGGGCAGGTAATGAAAAAAATAACAAATGAAAAACAAAAAATTATTTACTATTTTGGGGAGGGGGGTGAGGAAATCACAGAGCAGTTTAAACTTCTGAAGTCCATTTGACCTATTCACTAGATCTAAGACAAAATTTCGATTTTTAAAATAATCCCCATTCTTTTGAGTATCAAACTGATTGGTAGTCACATTCCAAGTACAATCAAAGTTTAACAGTTTGTTGAATGAAATATTAGTAAAGTCAAAAAGACAGACTAAATTTCAAACCGGAAAAAAAAATCTACTCAGGTATTACATTCAGTTTTCAAATCATTTACTAACATGACAACAGTTTTGGCTTCAATCACTCTCGCATACATACTCACACCACAACAAGCACCCAGCCACTGATCTGCTTTGCAACACAAGGCCATGTAGGCAGAGATGGCATTCTCCAAGCCAAACTTTAAATAGATTAAAAAAAGTAATTTCTAATTTTACAGAAATGCTTCTTCAAAAAATATTTTCTCTCACTCCCTTCTCCTTTACTGAAGGATGTATAATATGTTTTTTCCCCAAGCTAAATCTGAACCCTCAAAATTGATTCCAGGCAGAAGATTTCTGCAAATTAAAATCAAAAACAAAAATAGAAAAATTATATTTTTTATATGTATACATATATATATATATTTATATTTATACTGATTGGAATCCTCCAGCATTTTAAAATCACTTTAGAGATGAATTTTGGGATTCTACTGCTCACAACTCCAAAATCCATAATGATTTAAGGATGTACTTTTTCTCCTGTTTCCTTCCTGGCTACCCACTCCCCTCCAAAATAGTTCAATATAGCCACGGCTCAAGTTTAATGGGAAGAGAGAGTTTTTGAATAGTTTTTTTCTTTTCTTTTCTTTTCTTTTTACTTTGGTGATCTGGGTGGCACATACTGCTCTTTGCCATTACGTCGAGTCACTCCCTGAGGTATAGCCCTATGGCCAAACTGGCGTCTCTGTTCCCTGATTTTTCCAGCTGCTCCCCTGGGAATGGTATTGCCTCGAAAGCCAGAATAATCCTTACTAGCCCTTGCTTCTGGCTTCTCATGTGTTTTTTCAATGGACTTCTCTGGAGCTCCATTTTCTTCATTTTTGGTGGGAGATACAACGTTGGAGCGAAGTTCTCGTAGTGGCTGCACAAGAACTGGAGTTGGCTCTTTAGGGGGCTTCTGACACACTTCTGCATAACTTAACTTTCGGGGTTCCTTTGAAGTGAACATAAAAGACACAAGGTTTTTTCTGGTGCACATTCTTTAAATAATAAAGTACAAGTGAAATACTATTTACCACCAGAAAACCAGTAAGTTCTCTTTTAGGAAAGAGCAGTAGGCACTCCCATAGAAATTCCTATTAAAATGTATTTGTAAAATCCTTAAAAACAATACACTTGGGCTTCTGATTATTAAAATCTTAGACAGTAAACAAAACTAAGGGATGAGAGTGGGAAGTGGGGAAAAAGCCCTGTGTATTATGGTGGAGGACTATGGGTACTTTGGTGGTGGGAGAGCTAAGGTTGGCCACACCTGCGGGAAGAAATCCTCTTTTGTAAAACATTAACAAGTGAAATAAATAAAATAGTAAGTGAAAAAAGGGTGGGCGTAACATATCAAAAGGAAGAAACTTCCTATTACAGTATAAATCAGGGTGGTGACTATATATGACCATACATATACAGCATGAGGACTACAGCTTATAATGTTCTGCATATTTGATAGTTGCTAAGAGGCAGATCTTAAATGTTCTCACCACAAGAAATTGTTATAGTTTTAACTAAACTTACTGTGTAATCATTGTGTAACTTATAGAAGTATTGTACATCTGAAGTTAATGTAATCAGTTACATCTAAATTTAAGAAATACAGTTGTTGTAAACAATACAAAGCCTTAGCGATTTATGTAACATAATGTCAGCATTGTTTTCAGTGATGGAAAAAACTGGAAACCTAAATGACTAAGAAGGAAGAACATTCAATTAATAATGATAAATCCACATGATGAAATGATTCTATTCTTTCTTCCCTGGCTACAAAGAAGCCGGAGAGGAATATCATAAGAGCAGAGGCATTGGAAACCAATAATATACTAATAGAAGACTAAATGAAAGTATTAACCACGTTGTCTGAAAAAAGATAGTTAAGAGTGTTGTGAGAATGGTGTAAAGCAAGTAAAAACTCTTTAGCACTAATCCTAGCACATAGTAGTCACTCAACAATTGGTAGCTATTATATTATTTCTGCTATCATTATTAAATGTCAAAATATCCTTAACCTATAAAAATTTTGTTTCTTCCCTGCTTTTCTGTATTTCCCTAATTACAAAAATGATTCTGTAACTTAAGAGTGGCCCCCATGGGCTTTATAGACGTTGAGCAATCAAAAGAAATAGAATGGGCAGTAACTTCTTTACTCCCAAAATATGGCTAAAATTTCCTTTTTTTTTTTTTCATATTGACCTTTAAGCTCCTTTAGCTTTTCCTTAACAAAGGCAGTTCTAATTGGGCTATTTCCAAATGACTGCTTAGCAGAGTAATAAGAAAAACAGAATTACTCATTACTTAACCTATTATTTTCCTTCACATAGACTAAATTCAACAAGTTACCTGCAGGGCCACAGTTACAGCTGCACTTATGTTACTATTACATGGAGAAGCAGCATTTGTCCTTGATGGCTTTGCAGTATTTGAGGAAGAGGCTGGTATAGTTGTCTGGCTGAGAACATCCTTCTGAACAATGGAATCCTCTATTAGATCCTTTTGCTGAGTTGTACTGAGGAAAAAACAGCTTGTTATAGTCTTAGTAACAGCAGAGCAAACATTCACAAGAATAATCTTAATTGGAACACCTCCTGCACTACAATGTGTACCTTAATGCAGGAAGCTCAGATGTACATGGAGGACTAGTACTCATCTTGAGTTGCTGGGCAGAGATGCAGTCTGTATGTTCATTCTCTGCAGGCAGCGAGCAATTAACTCTTAACTCTTCGTTGTCCTTAAAGTAAAAATATATTTCAAAATTGTATTTTAACAGAAACTTCTCCAAAGATATATAAATGGTCATTAGGTACATGAAAAGATTTTCACTATCACTGGTTATTAGGGAGATGTAAATCAAAACCACAGTAAGAAGTCACTCGACTATAATAAAAAAGAGACAGTAACATAAGCTAGTGATGATATGAAGATGCTGGAACTTTCATACGTTGAAGGTGGCAACATAAAATGATGCAGCCACTCTGAAAAACTATCTTCCAATTCCTCAGAAAGTTAAACAGTTACCATATGATCCAGCAATTCCACTCCTGTGTATATATCCAAAAGAAAACATATGTCTACGCAAAAACCTATACGCAAATGTTAATAGCAGTATTATTCACAATGACCAGAAATTAGGAACAATCTTAATTTTTTAACTAGTCAATAAACAAAATGTAGTATAATAAACAATGGAATATTGTCATGCAATGAACACAAATGAATCTTGAGGACATTATGCTAAGTGAAATAAGTCAGTCATAAAATAAGATGTTCAATTTATAAGATTCAATATCAAACAAAGAATTCAAAAAAAGAGAAGGGAAAAGGTAAAGAATTTATCAGAAATAGTACAGAAAAACTTCCCAGCATGGAAGGATAAGTCCCGATTGAGGAACTACAATCATCCAGCATAATGAATAAAATAAGAGCTCTACCAAGACACATCATGATGAAATTTTACAGAATGACCAGTGCAAGTGAATTCTAAAAGCCTCCAGAGAGGAAAAAGCAAGCACAGGAGATCAAGAATCAGAACCACAAATTTCTAAAAAGCTTTCTGGAAGCTGGCACATTTCCTAAAAGAAAAAATTGCTAAACATGATCACATTAAAACTAAAATTAAGAACTTGTTTTTACCTGACACTGAATAAATACAAACTATAAAACTGAAAGATTGTTAGTAGTATCCTGACAAGAATTAGTATCTGGAATATATTAAAATTTTTTTAAAGATTTATTTTATTTATTTATGCATACAAGAACTGGAGTGTAGGCCAGAGGTGCAGGGGCTGGGGTGGGGTGAGTGAGAGGATTCACCAGAGACAGAGTAGGGAGCAGAACAGGTGGATTTACTGAAATAAATACACTGCTAAGGGGAGCACCGGGCAAGACAGGAAAGGTCTGCTGCACCATTTGGGTCAGTTCCCTGGCTGGCGATAAAACTCATGCCGCACTGGCTAGCAATAGCTTGATAGTGCTGAGATTTAACCCCTGTGCCACCAGGAGGCCCTGGAATATATTTGAAAAAGGGAAAAAAAAAAAAAAATCCATGCCTTCTGTAAAAGGGATAGCCCAATGGGGGACAGGAGGGGAATGTGCCAATTACATAACTCTTCATAAAACAAACTCGAAAGATCAATAGATGTGAAAAGATACTTAAATTCAACTAAAATTTAGAAGAATATGCCCTATCAATCAGCAACTGCACTATATATATAGGGTTATGGGGGTCAGTGTTTATGCATATTCACACACATATATTCATGTCTTATATATACTCTTGTGTATATACTGTAAGTGTTCTTGCACACATAAACCACTATGAACACTCATAGCAATGTTGCTTGTGATGGCAAACAATAATTATGTCCAATAACAGTAGAATGAGTATACAAAATGCAAAATGAAGTAATCCTGTTATCAACAGTGGTGAACTGAAACAACAGAGTACAAAAAGTAACAGAACACATACTGTACAATTATATTTATGTAGTGTTCAAAACCAAGCACAGTCAACAAACAATACCTTGTGTAGATTAAAGAGTGGCAAACCATGGCCTGCAGGCCAAATCTGCCTGAGTTATGTTATAGTGGCTTAAGGTATAAGAATGATTTGTAAGTTTTTAAAGGGCTTAAAAACAGACTATGTGACAGCATGTGTCCCACAAAACCTAATATATTCACTATCTGGCCCTTTACAAAAAAAAAGTTTCCCAACCAGGAATTTAAAACTATAAAGATCAACAAGAAATTATCACAAAGTCGTGACAATACTTATTTCTGAGGGAGAAAAGGGAAAGAAGAACTGTAAATAGAGAGGGGATTCAAACGGCACTTGCTAATATTTTGGTGATGTTTACAGTCCACAATTGAGGGTAGGAAATACAAGTAGAAGAACAATTTATTCTTCTTTAAAAATGTGTGCACATTATGTTACCAAATTTGAGAAGTCATCAATTGTAAAACACACCATTACTTTAGTTCTACTAAGAAAAAATACTGCCACTTATATGTCAATTAGCTTTTTAAAATCTAAGCCTGATTTTCAAAGGTGGAAAAGGTGGAAAATTCTATTTTAGAACTGATGAAATAACTGCATAATTTTTAAACCTTCAAAATTCTGAGGGGAAATGATTTCTAATAGAGAATTCTATAAACTACAGATCAAGTGCAAGAAAAGAAAAGCATGTTCAGAATGAAAGGTCCTAAGAAATCTCTACTAAAAGTCACTTACTCAAGCAAGTTGGGAAGATGTGGTCCATGGTAATATGGAAAAGTAAAAAGAGAAGCAAGAAAAAAAGGGAATCCAACAAAGAAGAGTAAGACAAATTTCCAGCATGGTGGTGAAGGGAAATTCCTGGAACACAGCTGTACAGCTGGTCACTGAGAGTAAAAGAGAGAAATAACAGTATACTACAAGGCTCAGCTATGAAGAACTATATAATATTAAGACTGGGATGTTTTTTATTTTCTTAGTGGTATTAAAATAATGGGACATCTTATGATTGATGGCATCTTAGATATAATAAAGGATGATATATTGAAAGGATGGGAAATATATGTTGGATTGAGAGAGCCAAATCCTTAAGTTAACAGACAATGTCTAATAGCAGAACCGTGTTTATTAGAAATAGTAATATATGTCAAGAGAAAAAACTAGTAGTGAAAGTGGTTGCAGAGGGCCAATCACTTTTATTTTTCATTATAAAGCTACATCTAACACATACATATGCTATTAAAATGGAAACAAATTGAACTAGAAAATAAGAATATGAAAAAAATTTGTGGGGCATGAAGATTTATGGAATGGAAAAAGTCTACACTTACAAGTATTGTAGGAGGGAGTATCCCAACCTTTTGATCTACCCTCCATTTCCTGAAAGACTGAGATTAAAGTTTGATGAATAAAAGTACATAAACTTTCAAAAAAAAAAAAAACTTCAAGCTAGCTTAGAAAAACTATTTACAACATTGGTTAAATTATAGGATTATAAGTGGAAATGACATTTTGCATTCAGTTTGCATTATCAAGCTGAGCTGACGGATACAAAGACTCACAAAAGTGAAGAAACATTTCACTGACCCTGTGTAGCTTTATCATAAATCTTTTTATGATACTGTTTTTATAGTAAGTATGTTGGAAAACCCCTTGAATAAAAACTATAAATACATAATAGGTGCAAATAAAAATTAAAATAGTAATCCTGAAAACAATGGCTAAATATGGTACCGTAATGTAAAAGATTGAACACTTCAGAATTTACCTTTTCTTTGAAGACACCTTTAACAACATCAGACATCCTACTCTCCAAAACAAGTTCACCTGCTATTTTTGATGAACTTCCAGGTAAGGGAGGAAAATTTGAGGCTAATAAGTCAAACTTTGGTGTTGGAGCTTTTGCTTCAGCTGCTGATAGATGGGGTCTCTAAAAGACACAAATCATAAAACAGGTTCACATGCCTGTCTCATTACTTGATCCTGTACCATACTGGCTGGCTGGCAGGCAGGCAAGGAGGAGGGAAGGAGAAAGGAACAACGAAACAAACAAACCTCGACCCTAATGCAAAGAATTTGTTCCCCTTATAAATTCTTTGCTTTTCTTCTTTTTTTAAAAAAAGATTTGTTTTTATTTACGCATACAAGAAATGGGGTGTAGGCCAGAGGTGAAGGGGGGTGGTGGTGAGAGGATTCCCCAGAGACAGAGTGGGGAGCAGAACAGGCGGTCTGACTTAAATACACTGCTGAGGGGAGGAGTAGGTGAGAAAGGAGAGGTCTGCTGTGCCATGTGGGTCAGCTCCCTGGCAGGGGAATCAAACTCATGTTGCAGTGGCTGTCGATAACTTAATAGTTCTGAGACTTAATTCCTTGCGCCACCAGGGAGGCCCCTATATTCTTTGCTTTTCATTTTAATTTAGCTCTCTTTAGTCTTTTTAATCTACTTATTTATTTTCTTCTAAGGTTCAGAAATTTACTAATTAGTGTAAACACCAACATAATACACCAACAGTATTTTGTGCATTGAAAAAAGAAGTATTTCCTATTTAAATGGAAAATTATGTGGATGGCTTCATAGGGTGAAATGTTACCTTTAGAAATCTGGACCTACTTTATTTAAATTTACATTCAATCTGAGTAGAACTTGTGCTGATCACTGGCACCCAGTTTGTTTCAGGTTCTTTGTTATTCTTTCTGCCCCAAGTGGATTGAACAAAGCCAGATGCATGACACACAGCACTGCTCCAGTACTACCAGCACCAATAAATAAAAAGGACTGGGGGGCTGGAAACAGAATCCCTCCCAGATGCTTCTTGGCCCGACTCCAGATTTAACAGAGCCATCAATCCTACTTATCTTTAGTTAGCTACCTTTCCTGTTTCTTTTGTAAACTTTACATACTCCTTTAAGCAACCTTCACTACTCTTTGCTTTCTAAATTTGCTATACCCCCCCTCAATAATAGTAACAAAACTCCTATCTTACCTAAATTTACCTTCATCTTTTCTCCTTTCACATAATTTTGAGAGAACAACATCTTTCCTTAAATCTCATCTCCCTCCCCAACCACTCTATATATTGTGATAAGTTTCTCACTTATATTACCTCTTTCTCTGTTTCCTAACTTTACTCAACACTCCACTAAAACTGCTTTGACAAGTCACCAATACCTCTGCAATGCAAAATCTGACCGTTTCTTGCCCCCAACTTCACCAGTATTAAGCAGGTTAACCAGAATTTCCTTTGGGAGTTCATTCCACGATGACTTTCTGTATTAACTCTCTCTCTTGTTCCTAAATCTGACAATCATGTGCTCTCTTCACCTGCCCACTTTTATGATGGCTTTTTTTTTTTTAAGATTTATTTATGCATACAAGAGCTGGGGTGCAAGCCAGAGGTGAGGGGGGTGAGAGGATTCACCAGAGACAGAGTGGGGAATAAAACAGGCGGACTGACTGAAATACAATGCTGTGGGGAGTAGCGAGTGAGACAGGAGAGGTCTGCTGCGCCATGTGGGTCCACTCCCTAACAGGGATCGAACTTGTGCTGCAGTGGCTGCCAAAATCTTCATAGTACTGAGACTTAACCCCTTGCACCACCAGGGAGGACCCTATGATGGCTTTGGTTTCAATATGATTACCATTTTTCTCCCTTTCCAAACTGCCCCTATTATCTATGACATCAGCTAATACCTAGATACAAACAACCTGAAATTTTTTGGTAACTCTGCAAATTAATCAGAAACCATTGCATTGTACATTTTAAATATTTTCAGCTCAGACCTTTATCTGAAACCCCAGTATTCACTGGCCTGGTTAGTCATCTCCTCTCAGATTTTACTTGAATACTCCTGACAACATAATGATGTTATTTTCAGCCCAATGCGATGTTTCCCAAGTTTACAAACTTGGCCCACTTTCATTACTTATTCTGTAGAGTATGCTACATGATTTCATCTACTCTTTTGGCCTCAACTACTATATGTAAGCTGAAAAAAATCTGAAGTTTAACTTCTAGCTGAGCTTTCCTTTCTGCATAATAGCACCTCTATCCTGCCCTTCCTACTGAAAGGTATGCCTATCTCTTTTTGCTTCATCCTCTTTTTCAGCCCTCAATCCTGATATATTCAACATATTAAATAGGTGTCAAGCCTAATCTCTCCTTTCTCCATTTGATCAGGATCGTCTGACAATTCTTGTGAGTACTGCAATGTATCCTTAAAAAGCTGTTGCCTAGAGGCACAAGGCTAATCCACATAGGAAGCTATACATGAAAGAATAAGTTTTCAAAGATTTACAGTTTGCCCCAATGACTATTCTTTGTGGTATAATGCAATATTTTTTCTTCTTTGAAAATGTAAGCCTTTTAGCATATAATATGTATGTACTATCTCTTAATATATTTACTTAAACATGTAAAATAAACATTGCATCGCTCATTTATGATAGATCTGTTATTTCTAGGCAAGATTTTCTTGAAATCACCATGTCTTCCTATATCATTTGTATTCCTCAAGTCCTTCTGTTCCCAATTAAAAGATGTCAAACTTTCACCACAAACAATAAAAATATGAATAATTTGCCAGGTAAGTTCAGATTCAAGTAAGAACATAATTAGAACTGCAAGTTGTTTTTTTAAAACCTACAGCTGTTTTTATAAAATCAGTTATAAGATGTAAGAATGAGTAGTGGGTAGAAAACTGCTTCCATGTTACAATTAATAAGATATAGTATGAACAATTTCCAGCATCAGATTGGCAAAAAAGTCACATTCTCTGTAAAGCTATAGATAACCAGGAGGCTTTTGTGTTCACTGTTTATGGGAGCAAATCCTATCTATAGAAAGTTATTTTACACAACTTACTGAATTGTGACCCATTAAATTCAACATCCAGGGGCTGTCTTTCAGATGTTATCGCACATGTAGTGTACAGATGATGGTTGTATGAAGTTATCATAATACTGTAATAGCACTGTTTGTAACAGAAAGATTAATACTTAAATGTCCATTAGTAGTTAAATTTTTCATATTTTTGGTTTTTAAACCATTGGTTTTTAAAACAGTATTTTAGGTATCAAACAATTTATATTTAAAGTAAGCAAACACAAGTCAAATTCCTAATTATGTATGTACTTAAGGGTGGTGGTAGTCAAAAAATGTTCTTTTGCTTTCAACAAATATTATAATCTATAAAACAAAAACCTGGAAAGATAGACCGCAAGTGAACCACAGTAAATCATAAAAGAAGAAACAACTTTAACAAATATAACTGAGGACAAAAAATATACATACTGGGATCCTGTCATCTTCTCGCCGTCTCCGACCTCTGAAGAGAGTTCTCCTTTTAACAATGAAAACAAAAAGGGGATGTGTTAAAAGGACAACTTGTAAATTTCTTTAAATATACACATTCTATCAAGGATGAGTAGATTTCTATTTTAAGTACCTTTCTAAATATTATTATTAAAAGATATATCTATAGTCTTCTGGAAAAAAATCTACCAAAAACTTCACCTACTACAACCAACACCACTAAGTACTGGGTTGTCAAAAAAGTCATGACGCATTTTTGCATAGAAAAAAAAAAATACGTTGTAGTGAAGGCAAAGATAAACAGCTGGGACTACATCAAATTAAAGAGCTTCTGGGCCTCCCCGGTGGCGCAGCGGTTGAGCGCTGGGTTGTGAGGCTGCCCGCAGCCTCTGCAGCGCTGGTTCCATCCCCGGCTGCTCCCCGGCCACTGGAGGAGGGTCCCGCATGGCGCGCGGACCTCTCCTGCCGCCCACTGCTCCCCTCAGCGGTGTGCTTCGGTCCTTCTGCCTGCTCTGCTCCCGCTCTGGCTCTGGTGAATTCTCTCGCCCTCCCGCGCTTCTGACTGTGCCCGGTGCTTGTATAAATATAAATAAATAAACAAATAAATAAAAACTATTAAAAATAAATAAATTAAAAAAAAAAGAGCTTTTGCACAGCAAAAGAGACAATAACAAAAACAAAGAGAAACCCCACCAACTGGGAGAACATTTTTGCACACAACACTAATGATAAAGGTCTGATCACAAAAATCTGCAAAGAGCTGATGAGACTCAACAACAACAAAGAAAATAATCCAGTGAAAAAATGGGCAGAAGAGCTAAAAAGAAACTTCTCTGAAGAGGAAATGCAAATGGCCAACAGGCATATGAAAAAATGTTCAACATCAGTTGTAATCAGGGAAATGCAAATCAAAACTACCATGAGATACCATCTTACACCAGTGAGAATGGCACATATTTAAAAAACTAGCAACAACAAATGTTGGCGAGGTTGTGGAGAAAAAGGAACTCTTCTGCACTGTTGGTGGGAGTGCAAACTGGTCCAACCACTATGGAGAGCTGTGTGGAGATTTCTGGACCTATTAAACATAGAGCTTCCATATGATCCAGCAATTCCACTCCTAGGTATTTACCCATAGGACACAGAAACATCAATTCCAAAGAGCACCTGCACCCCTATGTTTATAGCAGCACTATTTACAATAGCTAAGCTTTGGAAACAACCCAAATGTCCAAAAATAGATGACTGGATCAAGAAGATGTGGTACATATATACCATGGAATATTACTCAGCATTCAAAAAAGATAAACACATGCAATTTGCAGCAACATGGATGGCACTGGAAGGGATCATGCTCAGCGAAATAAGCCAGAAAGAAAAAGAAAAATACCGGATGGTCTCACTCATAGCAGGAATCTAGAAAACTTAAATAAGGGACCAGGAAAATGAATAACTATAAGAAAGTGAAAATCAGAATCAACAAAAAACTATGAACCAGAGACACTTTTTGGGGGGTGGGGGGCGGGATTGGGGTCAGAATGGGGGGTTGCAATTGTATGGGGAATATAAAAATAAAATTTATTATTTAAAAAAAAATACGTTGTGACTTTTCCCACAGCCCAATAATATAAGTTAAGCCCATTTTATTAGTACTATTCTCTCTATACCAGAAGCACATTAGACTTCAGGTTTTTAAAATTTTGTTTAGGCAGTGTAAGCAATACATTAACTCCCCATTCCCATTGTTTATAAATTATAAGATATTAAAACCATAAAGAAGGAGCTCATCTTTCTAAGCTATTCTTTCCTCAGTGAACCATAAAGAATTTCAGGTTAGCTTTTATAAACCTATAATTCGGACCTATAATCTATATGGGTATTCTGTATTTCTTAATAATTATGAAAAACTCATAAAATGTGAATGATGCATTTATTTAGCAGAATTTTACACCATTAAGTTAAAACAACAAAAGCATGTTCGATTATTGACATTATGATTCATGAATTTCCCATACTTATTTCCATATTTCCTTACCTGCCCCTACCATAGTCCCCATTCTGCTCCATTTGCAAAGTTGGGGTCTCTTTTGGAAGGTAGTTTTGTTCCTGATGCCCCGTTACTGTGGAGTTATGTCGTTCGGTTGGGAAGTTCCTTGAACCAGATCTGGTTAATGGTCCATCCCCCAATGACACAGAGCCCTCAGTTGAGTGTTCTGAACCACTGGATGACCTAAAATGAGGCTTCACACTATAAGAAATATAAGATCATAAACAAGAAAAGATTAAAACAGATTGAAAATCTTTCTTCTTAACAGTAGAAACTCTTAATAGTCCAAGTTAAAGATTGCCCTTTGCTGTACTTAAAAATGTACTGTTGTAAAAATATAATCCCTTTAATACCCTAGATATATTATTTAAAAGGCAGAGAATTTCCACATTAAATAAAAGTTGGTTGGATAAGTTTTGGGGGGAAGTTAAAGCTCTTCAAGATAAAATTACTTCCTTCCTTTAACACCAGCTGCAGTGTGGACATATCTAAATGAGACAGGCTTTAAAACTGAGTTTCTGCCACCCATTTTCAATGAAGGCAACATCATCCAAAGGGCATAAAATTGGTCCAGAGGGTGGGAGAAACAAAATCTGTCTTATTCACCCTATGTAAAAGTGTCTGTGTGTATAAACATGTATAGATATACAATTACTTGTAATAAATTTCACAAGGGAAAATTAGAGGGGGGAAAGGTCTGAAAAGGCTTTTAGGGAGTAACAAGGATAAAAGTATTGAGAAACAGTGGCATATATTAAGATTCTAGCTTCTTACACAAGGACTCCTAATTTCACCAAATGAAATTAGCTGTTTAAAGATTCATATGTGGGACCAAAAAAACTAGGAAAATAGAAATATATTGCAACTTAAAGATGGGTATGAGTTCATGAATTAAAGGTGTTGAATCTGACAGCAAAGAAACCATTACTTCTAAAAAAGCAGCTTTTATCCTGGATAACAACTCTTAACAATTTGTAAACAGATGAAGCTAGGGTAGGGTGACAGAGAAAGGATGTAATTTAATAGTGAAAATATCTAACATAAGCCCAACTAACTGAGGATCTTTCCTTTATAGTAAAATCAAAAACAAGTATGAGATTTGAGTTTGACCCCTTATTTATAATTTATAATGCTCCATTTTTTTAGTTGACATAATTACAAATGTGTAATATTAACTTATTCACAATTCTTGGTTCACCAAACAAGAATTTAAAACCTCATAACAATTTATAAGCCCAGCGACTAAACAGCCATTCAAAAATAATCTCTAGCTATTTTAATTTGCTCTTTACAGCTCATAAAATATTAGGCTACTTTTATTAAAATTTAAAGATAAAAAATCAGACTACAAAGTTGTGATGAGTTTCATATGACACACTTTTCACATAATTTTTGCTGCAAAATAGATTTTTAATAACAATATGACTGTCTATCAGCTAACAAAGTTACTTTCAAAATATTTTAATTATTCATCATATATGTAAATGACCTGAGGTAGATATATTGGTTAATCTGTTCATAAACTATCATTCACCTGAATTTTCTCATTGCATTTCAACAGACCTAACAGATAATTTAGGATTTAAAAATAGCCCTCAGATCTCATAATCTCACCCTTCACTGAGAGGGACTTAACAATCTCAGTCCAGGCAAAAGAAATAAAGAATAATGAAAGAAACAGTAATACAAGTTGGAAAGAAAGGGGAAATCAGTGACAGATAAAGTATGAAAAAGCAGAAAAATGCCCAGACTTCTGAAAGTTAGTCCTATTCTCTCTAAGTAGGGCTAATGATCATCACTGGGCTGTCACAAGATTAAAATAATAAATTGTAAATGAGCTCCCTAAAAGTTACTTTGTTCTTGACTGATAAATTTGAATGAATGTCTAATAGCTGTCACTTCTTAGAAGCAAGAAGGAAATAAGAATTTTAGCTGGTGATCAAAAAGCTGTTTCATCTGTAATATTTACATTTTTAAGAGCAAGTATTTATGGATTATGTCTATAATCAAAACCTAAGAACCACTTTTGTTGGTTAACTTACTAACAAGTAAAATTATACTAAACCTGCCCTGTATCTTTAAAATGATAAATACACACCCTCATAAACCAGGAACATTTGACTACCATTTCTGGGCTTTCTTATTCTAGTTTCAGCACATTTATCAAGAAAGCACAGAAGACAAAACCATGTGAACATAAAGGAAGACTGTATACATTTAGTGTATCTTTAAGTGAAGCACTTGCAAACACCAGTACTTCCAGTTATTAGTCAAAAATTACTTTTTGTTTACCTTTTAACAGAAGTCTACTCCACTTAAAAGTTCAAAGCAAAATTTAACCCTTCAAATAAACATGAAATTGATAGAAATCTTTATCTCCTCAGTTGTAAACTTTCATTTGTTCTATCGGAATTATTCTGAAGAAAAAACTTTACCAGATATGTTAATGGTAAAGTTCTAACAGGTTGCTGATAACACCTAGCCATGTAAGCCTAACAAGATACTTGTCCAGTTTTTACTTACCTCATCTGCGAAATGAGTTAAAATGACATAACAATCTCTTTCCAGATTTAAACAACATGGATTCTATGTGTTTGTGGAAATTAATCTTTTTTGAACAATGGGAAAACGGGTTAGGGGTCAATGGGTATTATGTATCTTAAGATGCACTGTACTCTTCTACCTACATGTCCCACCTATATGTCAATTTTGCCTTTAATTACTATTTGTATTATATTATCAAACCACGAGTCATCTCTAAGAGGACAGATAATCTTGTTTATAAAAATTCCTTCATTCTTACACTGAAGAGATCTCATTACAATTTTATAAAGTAGCAAAAATATGTAGCTGTAATAAAATTTTCTAACACTTAAAAGCGACCTTTAAATGCCTTAAATTAATTCAGTTAAAGCAAATACAAAAAATTGTGACCATTAAAGGGTGTATATATGAATGCTTCTAAAATCTACTAAGAAAAATACTTTTTAATGCCATGAGGCTTCTTTCTCCAGGAAGATATGTTTCAGGACTAAACATACAGGATATTCAGGACAAACAAGAACCAAGTTCCTAGAAGTCATCTTGGAAAAACATACCCCATGTGGTCTCCTTGCCAAAAAGAATCAACTGGGAGAATGAGATCTGGCAAGAGAAAATCACTGAAAAGAAGTAATTAAAAACAAGAAACCAGGAGGCTCACAAAATAGGCATGAATAAATGATAAATGTGAAACTATTAAATAAACCAAAAACTAGTGTACGAACCCTTTTTCTTTGGTTACTCAAAGTCTCTCAAAACCCGTAATAAATACCAAATTATTGAGGTCATCAGTTGACAATTATATGAAGAATAACACTTAAGATGTGTATCTCTCTTTCATATGACAGCAAACAGCTTCCAGGGTTCTCAAAAATTTACATAAAACATTGTGTTTTAAATGTAGACTTTGGTATTGAACCGCCTGGGCTCAAATTTTGTTACTTGCTCAAAAATATGATATTTACCTTGTTATGTCTAAATTTCCAAATCTTTAAGTAGACATAATAACTAGCTATCTTATAAGATTATGAAAATTATTGTGAGAAAACATGCAAAGTCCTTCAAAAAGAGCTTAAGAAACTAAGTACTCCAATGTTAGCTAATGTCTGTTGTACTCCATAGTTCATATACATCATTTCAAAAGTAAATTCTTGAAAATCCTAAATAACTCAGTCACAGCATTATTATTCAAACCAGTTAATAACACATATATCATAAAAAACTTTCTCCAAAATGTTACCTATTTAACATACTAAATGGCATTCAGAGACCAAGTTTTTATCATAAATTGCTACCACAAAAAATACTACTTAAAAAAAAAATCAGTATTATTGCATGCAACCTCAATTCCAAATCCTTTTTATAACCATTATCAATTATAGGGTCAAAGTGTACTTATGAATTCTAGATTAAATCATTTATATATTTTTGGTAGAAGACCCTTTCTACTAAGCCTGCAAATAAGCACTGCTATTAACACAGTAACTCTAAAAAAAAATAGAAATTGTTTTCAATAAACTCTAACTATGATTTTTATCTTACCGATTTTTTGGGAATGGTCTACCCATATTCACAGCAGCAGCATTTGCTTTATAAGATCCTGGTGAATTAAAGCCATTCACAAAACTACCATTGGGAAAGGGAGCCTAGAAGAAAATTTAAAAGTCAAAACCACAATTAATGATAAAGGCAAAATCTACTGCAAAGAGTATAACTTAGGATACAGTGACCTAACATCAAATTCTTTCACAAGCCAAAAATACCATTTAAACTCACTTTTACAATACTTCCCCAACTTCAAGGATCACTCCAGTTACAAAATAATCACCAATTCATTTATTACTTAATAAAAATTCATAAAATTAAAAGTATTTTAAATCATTCAAGGATCCTAGGCCTGAAAATATTATTCAGCAAAATCTGAAGAATAAAATTATAGCCGCTAATAGTTCAACCCCTACCCATATGCATATATTTAAAGCAGATCATTACTTAAAGTCAGAAAGTAACCAACATCTACACAAAACAAAACAAACAAAAAAGAACTATCTCAGATGATCTCTTCAAATTTCAAATTGAGTGAAAAATTTTATCATGTGTGAGGCTCTCACTTACCAGTGGTGTTTCGAAGTAAGGTGCAGGATTTGGAGACCACGCCTGAGGCACAATACTATACACAGAGTACTGTTGGTGAGGATTATACACAGGCTGCATGAAGACTGGTGAAGCATACTGTGCTTGAGTTTGAATGGGTTGACTATATATACTAGAATCCATTAAACGATAACCGTTCTTAGCAAAAAACGTATTGATGGCTTTTATCCTTGCCTAGAAGCAAGAGGAACACATTATAATAACAAAGGACTAGGTGTATATTCTCACAAATAATAATTTACATTTTAACATATTTTACATGAATAAGTCATTTCTGTCTATTGTAGAGCAAAAGAAATTGAAGGGTGCCACTTTCAAGATAACCAAGAAAAGAAGGAACAAAGGTCATGCCAAAAAGGGCGATGGCCATGTGCAGCCTACTTGCTGCACCAACTGTGCCCCCTGAGTGCCAAGGGCAGGGTCATTAAGGTTTTTATCATCCAAAACATAATGAAGGACCATCATCGGGGATGTTTACAGAACAAGTATCTTCAACATCTGTATGCTTCCCAAGCAGTGCAAATACATTACTGTGTGGAGTTGTGCCATTCACAGCAAGGTAGTCAGGATTAGTTCTCTGGAATCAGGAAGGACAGGGACATTCCCAACCCCAATTTAAAGCTGCAAGGGGTTGCCCCACCTCTGCAAAAGCCTGTGTTAAAAGAACAAATTCTTAAGGTCTGAAAAACTGTCCTCTGTGAAAAACAGAAAGTGGACATTATGCTTCAAAAAAATAATAATAAAATGACTGATAGCTTTAATTAGAAAAAATGCATGACAAAAACCACAATGAATAAGAAAAATGCACAAAAATCAGGACAGCAAAACTGACTGCAACTTATCACAAACAAGGGGGCTAATATTCCCATTACACATATCCTAAAAAGAGAGAAAAAAGCTCAACAATCTGGAATGAAAATGTGCTAGAAACAAGAACAGAGCTACAGAAAAAAAGTTCTTAATCATGTGAAAAGATCTAAGAAAAATGCAATTAAAACTGAATTAACAGGGCCTCCCCGGTGGCGCAGCGGTTGAGCGCTGGGTTGCAAAGCTGCCGGTGACCTCTGCGGCGCCGGTTCGATCCCGGCTGCTCCCCGGCCACCGGAGGAGGGTCCCACATGGCGCGCAGACCTCTCCTGCCGCCCGCTGCTCCCCTCAGCAGTGTACTTCGGTCCTTCTGCCTGCTCTGCTCCCCGCTCTGGCTCTGGTGAATTCTCTCACCCTCCCGCGCTTCTGACTGTACCCAGTGCATGTATAAACAAAACGAACGAACGAACAAACAAATAAATAAATAAATACATGCCTCAAAAAAAAAAAAAAGCTGAATTAACATCTCATAGAACTGGCAAAGGTAAAAGAAAATCTCCCCCAAATCACATGCATTTACTATATTCTCATCAATTCCACTTCTAGGAATCTTTCCCAAATATACACTGACCAAAACCAGGACGCACATGATTATCAACTGAAACTACTGTAACAGGAAAGGGGAAAAAAACTCTGATACACTCTCTCACACTATCCCTCTCTTTCTCTCTCTTTCTCAGGAAACAACCCAACAGTCAATTAAAGGTTGAATACACTATGATACAGCCACACAATTGAGTATCATGGGGATGTAAAAATAAGTAATTATTCGAATACAACAGTGATTTCCAGAACATATACTATTACTTAAGAGGAAAATAAGTCAGTATGCCAAAGGACTAAAGTATGCACAGTATGTTACTATTATAGCTAAGTCAATAAGGAAATAAAGATATACTGGTATATACTATATCCACGTATGATTTAATGTGTTTTAGATATTTTACTTTTTTAAAAAGATTTATTTTATCTATGCATATAAGAACTGGGGTCCAGGCTAGAGATGTGGGGGGCAGGGGAGGGTGGCGCGGGCGGGTGTGTGTGGGAGGATTCACCAGAGACAGAGTGGGGGAGCAGAACAGGAGGATTCACTGAATACACTGCTAAGGGGATCAACCGGTGAGACAGCAATGGGTGAGAGAGGAGAGGTCTGCTGTGCCTTAGGTGGGTTAGCCTTATGTGGGTTAGCCCCTGGGGCCAGGGATCAAATTCATGCCTCAGTGGCTGGTGATAGCTTGATAGTGCTAAGATTTTAACCCCTGAGCCACCAGGGAAACCCTAAATATTTTACTTTTAAACCATGCACATATTTAAAAAAAAAGTCAGTCTGTGAAAGTTAAAAACAAAATAAACCTTGATGTTTATCCAATAGTAATATAGTAACAAATGACTGAACCATAATATAATCATTGAACCATAATATAAATGACTGAACCATAATATAATCAATTGTTATATTTCTCTGGAAGCATGGCAAAAATAATTAACTTGTTTCCAGTATTATATTGCTATTTGTATTGTTATGATACTTTTGTGTATGACTATGGGATACAGTAAATCAGTAATTATATTATGGTCACTGAGATAAGAATTTCACATGGGAGAAAGGAACTGAAGAAGTAAAAAACAAGAAGCCAGAATACCTTGGAAGCACCATTATAATCTCACAGTTTATCTTAAAAACCAAACAAGTTTCACAGCATTGTCCAAAAAATTTGGAAACCACCACCAAACCAGTAGCCACAGCACTTCTGGTTACCTAGCCAGTGGACTGAAAAATTAAAATTCCCCATCAAAATAACAAAATAATATGGGAACTGGGGAGACCTGGCTGACCCCAGGTCTCTGACACAAAATGCACAAGAGCCTGGAACATGTGCTTGTAGTAGATGGCAAGGAAACCATTGAAAAGTACTAGGGTTGTGACAAAATGACTCATGAGTCAACTCAAAAAGGTTATAGTTCATTTATAGGGACAATAAACACAATAAATAAGCTTAAATACTCAAAAACAAAAAATACCCATCTAAAGCATAATTTCTGAAGGTTTAGGGAGCCAACGCATTATTTTCAAAAACTAGTTTAAAAATTGGAACCAAGCATGTATATGCATTTCATATGTAAGCTATATTTCAGAGAAATGTTTCAACTAGGGCCTCCCTGGTGGCGCAAGGGGTTAAGAAGCAACACTACGAAGCTAGCCATTGCGGCACTAGTTTAATCCCCAGCCAGGGAGGTGGCCACATGGCACAGCACACCTCTCCTGTCTCGCCTGCTGCTCCCCTCAGCAGTGTATTTCAGTGAATCTGCCTGTTCTGCTCCCCAGTCTGTCTCTGGTGAATTCTCTCACCCCCTGTATCTCTGGCCTGCACCCCAGCTCTTGTATGCATAAATAAATATATCTTAAAAAAAAAAAGTTTCAACTAATAAGTGGAGGAAAAAACACTGAAAAAGCACCACTTTGCAACCCTTAGTAAATTAACAAATCTAGTCAATCATCAGTAGCAGTTAGCATAAAAGAAACAGACATATAATTATGTTTTAGTTTTCTCTCTTTGCTATCTCCAAATCAAATCCAATTCTGAGTAAGACTCTAGATCTAGTTACCAACATGCATAAAATATGCATAGACTAATTATCAATAAACACAAGAAAAGATGCTCCGTATCACTATTCATTAGAGAAATGCAAATCAAAACAATGAGATACCATCACCTCATAACCAGTAAGACAATTACCATCAAAAACAGAAAAAAGTATGTATTGGCAAGGATGTGATGAATTTGAAGGAACTGTACAATGCTGATGGGAATGTGAAATGGTGCGGTGGCTGTAAAAAACAGTATGGAAGTTCCTCAAAATATTAAAAATAGAATAGCCATATGGTCACTTCTGGGTATATACTCCCCAAAATTGAAAAGAGTTTAAAAAAAAATAGCCTACTAAGGCCAGGCTGTTACGGAGCAACCCCAATATAAAACGGGTTGCCTGGCTGTGGGTCCTCACCCATGTGCTTAAAAGGGACTTATTAATACTCCACTACAGGCACACACAAAAGGTTAATAAAAGGTTTATTTACAAGGGAAAGGGAATTAAGGAAATGTACAACTCAGGGAGAAAATAGGGAAATAAAGTCTTTAATGTGTCCTACCCAATCCACCGACCTGGAAACCCAAAGGCACTCTCGAGCTGGCCAATACTGCGAGCTGGCGGAGAGCCAAAATGGGGGATCTCCTCCAAAGCCCACATATCTGGTTTTACCAAACCTGGCTGCTTAACCCCACCCTCACGTTCCAGCAACCTTCCCTTTGGTGGTGATGGGATTTGGAGTTCCCAGTATCTTTTGGCTTTGGTCTGGAGTGGGGGGGTGGAGTCCACAAAGCCTGTATGGAATTAGCTTTAGGACATCCTTTTCCCCCTAACAATTCCTTTGACCTATTAATGATGAATTATAGATTTTCTAGTATTGCCACATAATTGCGTTCATACCTGGAATAAATCCATCTTTGTCACAGTGAAAATAATTGAAAATAGAATACTGAAGATTTTGTACTCTAATGTTCACAGCAACATTATTTATAACAGCTAAAATGTGGAAGCAACCTAAGTGTCTATTAATAGACACACACACAATTTATATATGTAATACAAACATAGATATACATATACACAACAGAATATTATTCAGACTTGAACAGGAAGGAAATTCTTCAACACACTACATGGATGAACTCTGAGTTAATATATGCAAAGTGCTTAGAACAGATACACAGTAAGAGCTTAGAACTAAAACAGTAAGTACATAGCAAGAATCATTTGCACTTATAAATTATTATATTACAAAAGGAATGAGCATGTCAAAATAAGTGCATGCTTTGGACTGTATTTTATATGGTACCTTTGATGGTAATGAGGGGCAAGGACTATAAGGGGAAAAGTTGAAGGCCTAACAGTTAAAAAGGCTACTTCAACTGTTCAAGCCTAAAAAATGGCGATAATGATTAGAAGTTATAAGGGAAGACTTTGTATCTGAGAATATATCAGACATACAAAAACAGCGCTCAAATGTCAACAATTTCTAGGTTCTCTAATGGCTGAATGTTAAAAAGTGGTGATGTAGTTAATTAAGATGAATTTGAAGGTACTAAAATGTTTTCCATCTTTGTTACTAAAAAAGTATTCGCACTTCTCAAAATGAGATCTGTACTTCTCTTATATTTTGTCAATTATCATCTCTCTAGAACCTCATGCCATTTGAAGTAATGCCTTTAGAAAGAACTACTGTATAAAAAATATTTTCATTTTCTATCAATAACTGATTTGTTCAAGTAGCACATCCTGTGAACCAAAAAATCCTTTAAAATCATTGTTTTATAAAATATTGTGTTTTTAAAATTCTCATATTAACAACAAAAACTGTTTCATGCTGACATCTCCATAACGAATGTTCCTTACCATGATTGGCTTGCCCTGAAATGTTTTAACTTCTTCTCGTAAGTATTTAAAAGCCTGTTCGCAAAGCAGAAAGAAACTTTCATTAGTATTCAAAAATTCATTAAAGGCATCTTTATTTATTTTTTTAAAACAATTTATTTATTTATGCAAAGGCTGTGGTACAAGCCAGAGATGCAGGGGGTGAGAGGATTCACAAGAGACAGAGTGGGGAACAGAACAGGCAGATTGACCAAAGTACACTGCTGAGGGGGGCATCGGGCGAGTCAGGAGAGGTTTGCAGCGCCATGTGGGTTGCTCCCTGGCCAGCCGGGGATCAAACTCATGCTGCGCCACCAGGGAGGCCCTAAAGGCATCTTTATTCTATTAAAAGAGTTTAGTATTACAACTATTTTTAAACATAAGGTATTGGGGTGATTACATTATGGAGATGATAGGGAGTGAAAAGTAAAATTTAAGATCTCAGCTATAGTTTGCATTTATTGTAAATTAGCTACCATATCATTGTAGATAAAATGCAAAAAATTCAAAACAGATGCAAAATATCACAACATATCAATTTAAAAGAGATACAGACTTCTAAGATGATAAATAAAAAAAATCAGTTTTAAAAAGTTCCCATTAGATATATTTTTGTTCCAAAGGAATTTTACTTATCTTTAAGTAGGACATGGTAATAAGAGAAAAAAAAAAGCTTTAGGAAGATGATCAAAAAGGAAATTCAGTAATAAGCCAAAGAAAAACAAAACAAACAAACAAAAAAAAACAGGTGACCAAGGTGCTGAACAGTATAGTTATTATTGTATGAGCACATATTTTCTCAATTAAAATATACCACTACCCCTTTCACCATTAGTACTTGAAGCAGAAGAAAAATTTCCTTCTCACCTGTTGTGCATCTGTATCTGTTTGGAAAGTGATATACCAGTTACTATTGTGTGCAAACTCACAACTTATCACCTTGGGACAGTTTTCATTTTTGAACAAAGCTTTTACTTCCTGAAAAAAAAGAAAAACTTGAGTTAATGCTTAAAAGAAAGTATTAAAAAAGTGGACATTTTTTTCCCTTTGTACAGATTTTGGTACTTTCTATTTCTTTACTTGTTAACTAGTTATGCCCTCTCCCCATTTTTCCATTGAGAACAGATTATGTTCTGAAAAAAGAACATGCATATCCACAATGGAATACTACTCAACAATCAAAAAAGATGAATTCATGTCATTCACAGCAACATGGATGGGCTGGAAGGGATTATGCTCAGTGAAATAAGTCAGAAGGAGAAGAGAAAAATGCAGGATAGTTTCACTTAGAGGAGGAACATAGGGAAAACAAAGGAACAGAAAAAAAGACAAAAATAGCAGGCAAACTATAAATGAGAGACATTCAGTTGAGGAGAGGAAGAGGGACCAAAACATGGGAAGAGCACAAGAGACTATTGTGACAGTTCACGGGTGTCTCGGTGGTGGTAATTTTATGTGGATTACACCTAAAAGGAGAATGAACGATAATGTAAAAAGTATGTTTAAAAAAAAAAAACATGCATAGTTATTGTGCAAATTGTCTATGATGCAATCTTATTTTATAATTAGTAAAACTGAAGCATTTCACACCTGGTGAAAATTTAAAATTTCCTTATAGTAAAACCTCTATAGTCCTCTGATTACCCCCCACTCCCAAAATGAAGCATGCCCTCCATTTTCCTTCCCCCCCTCCAGATTTATTTTTGCATAGAAGAACTGGGACATAGGCCAGAGGTGTAGGGGGGAAGAGGATTCACCAGAGACAGTGGGGAGCAGAACAGGCGGATTCACTGAAATACACTGTTAAAAGGAGCAGTGGACAAGACAGGAGAGGTCTGCTGTGCCATATATGGGTTAGTTTCCTGGCTCCGGTGGGGTGGGGTGGGATCAAATTCAGGTTGTAGTGGTGACAGGGCTGAGACTTAATCCCTAAGCCACCAGGGAGGTCCTGTCCTCCATTTTCTAGGCGCTAAGTATTTTCACTCAATCCAGATGTTTATTATTAGTGATAGACATAAACTCTGTAGATACCTTTTCTCTTCCATAACTGATAAAACTGAAAACTAAAACTCTAACAAATATATAGATTTAGAGAAAGGTAATTAACCAAACTCAGAACTGTGTAATAGTTAATAGCTTGAAATGAGTTTATAAAAAGAGAAAAAGCAACATCTACTGAGACACTGTGATTTACTCCTGAAAATAATACTGTGCTGAATATTTTACCATCTCTATTTTACATCTGAGGTGGTTCCGAGTGTTTAACCTACCCACAAGGTCACAAAGCAGCACTCAAACCCAGATTTTCATACCTCCAAACTCCATTTTGTCTAACATCTATTTGAGTTCAAGGATAGTAACCAATAATTCCCAAAAACACTGTCCCAGAAAATATCAAAAGGTATCAATTTATTTATTTATTTAATAATAAGCATTCTTTTTTTTTTTTTAAAGATTTATTTTTTTATTTTATTTTATACAAGCACTGGGTACAGTCAGAAGCGCGGGAAGGTAAGAGAATTCACCAGAGCCAGAGGGGGGAGCAGAGCAGGCAGAAGGACCAAAGTACACTGCTGAGGGGAGCAGTGGGTGGCAGGAGAGGTCTGCACGCCATGTGGGACCCTCCTCCGATGGCTGGGGAGCAGCCGGGGATCGAACCTGCGCTGCAGAGGCCACGGGCAGCTTCGCAACCCAGCGCTCAACCGCTGCCCCACCGGGGAGGCCCCAAAAGGTATCAATTTATAAAAAGAAGATCATGAACCTGATAGGACAGTCAGCATGGCAACAGTGAAATCTAACCCACAGTCTTACTCCCTCAAAATTTTAATATATGCAATTAAAAGAGATGAGAGAGATTGTCTCTATTTGCTATGAAATTTCTGTCAAATGCTGCTTGAAATAATAAGTGGGCAACCAGCTGGATTTTATGTCATTTGTGAAAGTGATAAAATATCACAAGTCCGGTTAATAAAATTTTTATTCAAATCCAGAATTACATTCATGAAGAACTATTTATGGAACAGTTAAGGCACTACCTGTTGATTTCCACACCTTCAAAAATCCATGCATATTCTCTAAATATTTCTAATTATTCCTAAGCACATAATGAATGAATTTACTTGAACAAAATGCCTATTTTCAGCATTTGTCATTCCACAGGAAGAGGTATGTTCATAGACTCACTTTCCCAAGTATAATAACTTTTAGACCCTTGCCACCTAAGAAATTTCATGACCTGAGTCATTCAGTATTAAATTTCCAGAGTGAAGATTCCCTAAACTTAGAAACTGTGGGAGGAATTAGAAAACTGACATTAGACCTTTGATTTGAAAGTATGCACTATATGTCAAAATACAAATTAAACAGAAGGTTGCAGAATAGGCAGAGTATTTGCAACATAAGATTAATGTGTATAGTATGTGAACCTGAACTCTCGAGCTAGTGTGACCGGACTCTAAAGTATTATAAATTTATTCCATCTTTCAGGAACCTTAGAAGCAATCCCTCAGGGACCTCCCTGGTGGTGCAAGGGATTAAGTCTCAGCACTATGGAGCTATCTGCAGCCACTGCAGCAACAGTCCGATCCCCAGCCAAGGAGCCAATGCACATGGCACAACAGACCTCTCCTGTCTCACCTGCTCCTCCCTTCAGCAGCGTATTTCAATCTGCCTGTTCTGCTCCCCATTCTGTCTCTGGTGAAATCTCTCACACACACACCCCACCCCTCTGGCCTGCACCCGAGCTCTTGTATGCATAAATAAGTAAAACCTTTTTTTAAAAAAAGTAACCCCTCATTTTAATTTTAGTGATTATTAAGTAGGTAGACATTCTCTGGTTATTTTGGTCATCTGCACTTCCTTTACTTTTTTCAATGAACAGTATAAATTGCTGCCTTGTTCCTTTTAATTACTATTTTTCATGTGGATAAGCTGTATGTTCAGAATATGCACTACAATAACTTTTGAAATGTTAATAATTGCTAACCCTAGAGTGTTTTATATGCCAGGTACTGCTCTAAGCTCTTTATATACTAAGTCACCTAATTTTCACAAGTCTGAGTTATTTATTAGTTATCCCAAATAACAAATGAGAAAACTGAAGAGGTTAAATAACTTATTTAAGGGCATAATTAGCAAATTCCCCAGTGGCGCAGCGGGTTGAGCACAGCGCTATGAAGCTGTCTGCAGCCTCTGCAGGACGGGTCTGATTCCCGGCCAGCCAGGGAGAAACCCACATGGCATGGCAGACCTCTCCTGTCTTGCCCACTGCTCCCCTCAGCAGTGTGCTCCGTTCCTTCTGCCTGTTCTGCTCTCCATTCCATCTCTGGTGAATCCTCTTACCCTTCCGTGCCTCTGGCCTGTACCCCAGCTATTGTATAAATAAAAAATAAATCTTTAAAAAAAAAAAGATGGGGGCCTCCCCGGTGGCGCAGCGGTTGAGCGCTGGGTTGCGAAGCTGCCCGCGGCCTCTGCGGCGCCGGTTCGATCCCCGGCTGCTCCCCGGCCACCGGAGGAGGATCCCACATGGTGCGCAGACCTCTCCTGCCACCCGCTGCTCCCCTCAGCAGTGTACTTCAGTTCTTCTGCCTGCTCTGCTCCCCACTCTGGCTCTGGTGAATTCTCTCACCCTCCTGCGCTTCTGACTGTACCCAGTGCATGTATAAACAAATAAAATAAATAAATAAATAAAAACATGCCTTTATAAAAAAAAAAAAAAAAGATGGAACAGAAAGCCAGGCAGACTGGTTCCACAGTTCAGGCTAATATACTATACACATTAACCTTATGTTGTAAATACTCTGTCCATTCTGCAACCTTCTATTTAATTTGTATTTTGACATACAGTGCATAGTTTTAAATCAAAGGTCTAATGACAGTTTCTTTTTAATTTCTCTCACAGTTTCTAAGATTAGGGAATCTTCACCTTAGAAATTTAATACTTAATGACTCCGGTCATGTAATTTCTTAGGTGGCAAGGGTCTAAACATTCTTTTTTTAAGTGGCTAATCAAATTGTCAAGTATGTTACTTATTAATTATCCTCATCTCTAATTAATAAGCCTTAATACGGTAACTAAAGTGTGACACTCTGGTGTAATGGTTAAGAAACAGGGGCTTGAGAATTAGAGATCAAGTTCAAATTCAAACTGTCATTTAACAGGCCATCTGAAAAAGTTATTTAACTTTTCTAAGGCTCAGTTACTTTATCTGTAAAAACAGTAATAATAAAACCTTTCACTTTAAGTAACAATCCTACGTAGAACCTAATTGTTAAATATTATAAATAATTACCAAAATGTCTATTTTTGGATTACATTGTGATTCAAATATTATTAATTCTTGCGCCCGTTCTATAACATATTATGACTGCCACTTTGCTTAATATTTTGCTAACCAGAAGGGTTAGTCTTCACTCATTAATCCTTATTCAAATTTTTCTTTTTTATTTCCCAAGTTCATTCTTCCAACTGAATCCTCAAATTCCCAAAAGAACCTACTTATACTTTAACTGCCATTCAGTCAGATCAATAAATTGAAAATTATCACTCAATTTTCAGTCTAACCTTTTAAGAACAAAGAATTGTATTTTTTTCCACCCATTTGTCTAGTATTTCAGAATTTACAAACTAACATTTATGCAATTCATAGTAATTAATATGACTTACGCTTTGTCGTTTACTTCCTCCAGTTTAGAAAGTTAAAGAACATTGAGCTTCAATAATGCTTAACAATTTACCTCTATTGGTGTTGTTTCAGGAATCTCTCTAAGAATAACAATACAACGTTTATGACTTGGTCTCACTTTCTCGCCCTTCTCATCAACTTGTACCATAGGAGAGGCTGAAATTATAAGAAGGGTTTCATTCAGAAGTGACAAGTAGAGATATTAATAATGCCATTTAAAAAAATTATTCATTTCCAACTAAATCAATCAACAGAAATTAAGTTGTAGAATCAAAGATTACAGCTACAATAAAATGAGATTAATATACAAATAACATTGTAAAATATTCTTTGAACAAATATTCAGAGTACCTATCTCGTGACTGGGCATTGTTTCACAGTTGAAAAGTAGTCTGCAGGGAGCATATAACACATTATTTACTAAGGCAATTTTCCTGTATGCAATTACCGAGTTCTTTATTTCAAGATATAACAAAAATCACTGTACTTGCATTAGACAAAACTATGCTGGGGATAATGAGCTCTGATATGTGAAAAAAAAACCTTAAAATTAAAGTCTAAGTTGTACTTAAACCAAGAATTATATAAGTGATTATAATCTTTCATTGATTTTAACATACTTACTCTTACACACCACAAAAACCTAGAAGCCACATTTTAGATGTTCATTTTGAGGAAATATTGAATAAAGTTAGTAAGTACCATATAGCCAAAACTATTTCTATTCTTTCTAGAGTGATAATATACCACATCTCCCTGAATATGTAAATAGAATAAACGAAGCAGTTACAGGTGAACACTTGCATGTAGCCTTAGAAGTAGGCCTTAGAGGTGGGCATTCTGCCTGCCTCTTGGCAGTGACTGGGTTCTCCTTTTAATAAATGCTATTACTGCACAAACTGATCAGAGATTTCATAAATGTTTTTGGTCTCTGAAAACAGAAATCCTCTACTCCCATAAAATTCTATTACTGGACTTGCTATACTTAACTTTTAAACATTTTCAATAACACATTTCATATAAGAATAAAGATTTGTATTTATGCAGTTAAATACTTAATAAAACCACCAAGAAAAGGTTACTAAGAAATACTGACAAAAGATACAAACACCACAGAACCTCAACCTAAAATACAATTTCTTTAACGTTAGAGTAGAATTTGTCAAACTCTGGGTTTACAACTTCTTGATTGGTTAAAGAAAATGAGTTCATTGCATTTAGTATTAATCTGCATAAGTGACATTTTAGTTATATGTGGATAGTGGTGTGTGTATTGGGCTGTGATGTAAAGATACTTTTCACTTAGGTACTAAAATTTGAAATAAATAGCTTTAGAAGGTGTGATAATGACACATACACTATCTAGTGATCAAAAAATTGTGATTTCATTGCTTATACTTGAGAAAGTAGGCATTAAGGTAAACAAAGTATAAAACTGATATAGAAGCTATATGCCAGTTGGTGAAAATATATTGGAACAGAACAGCAAAGCAGAGGGAATGAAAAACAAATCCCTCTGCGGTATTTCTTTTTAATTAAATTTAACATTTTTTGAATAATTTTTCAATTAAAAAAAAGCTAAAAGGTATCATTTACATACATCTTAACACTTCAAGAATTAGATCCGGGTCTGTTGTCAGTTTTTTAATTTCTTCCATGTTGGCAACTGTCCAAATTGGGATGAACTGATCACTGTCCATTTGCGATATCAAATAGAGATCCTTCGATAAATTTTCTCTGAAAGAAATACACAAAAGCAACCATCCTATAAAACCAAAAATTCTTTAATAAAAGCACCAAAAAAAGAGGTGATATTCACTCTGTCACTAAGGTTAGGAAAACAAGATTATGTGATCATAAATAACACAGTGAACTGTGAAAATATGTACTATACAGCATACAAAAGACCTCAACAATTTCAGGAAAGTTTGTGCATCCGCAGACATATATGGCCCAACAGCTTTGAACAATGGATTTTATGAAATCAGTGATATAGAGAAAGGATTTATATTGAATTTTAAAATAAAAAATACTACATATACAGTTCTAATGTTAAAACATTTTATTACTGAAGTTAGAATACACATATCAGAAAAATCAAATCTTTGAAGCAATCTGTCAAAAATAACTAGAAGTCTATGCTTAAAAGTCAGCTTCTCAATAACCACCCTATTTAAAACTGAAACCCAAACTGCTGATTTCCCTTCCCTTGCTGCTACTGTTCTAGTTTTTTCTGTAGCATTTACCACCTAACACACATCTAAGTTACTGTCCTACAACATTTGTTTTGCATCTCCCACCCAGAATCTGTGAAGGATTTTTATTGTTCAAATATGTGTTGCAAAGGCCTACAGTCTGGCACAAAGAAGGCTTAAAGGCCTTCCATTATACCAAAACAGAACAGTAATTACTTTTTTAAGGTTACAAATGTCAAAAGATGGTGGTTATTTTTTGGGGGGAAAGAAAATAGAAAAGGGCCTCCCTGTCCATGCAAGGGGTTACGCAGCAGGAGTTCGATCCCCAGCCAGCCAGGGAGCTACCCACATGGCGCAGCAGACCTCTCCTGTCTCACCCGCTGCTCCCCTCAGCGGTGTATTTCAGTCAGTCTGCCTGTTCAGTTCCCCACTATGTCTATGGTGAATTCTCTCACCTCACCCCGCATCCCGCACTCCCCCCGACCCACCCCGGGCCCTGCAACTCTGGCCTATTCCCCAGTTCTTGTATATATAAATAAATCAATCTTAACAAAAAAATAAAGAGAAGATACCAGCAAAGATTAAGCTCACTTTAGCAGAAAATGAGAACATATATCTATTATCCTAATCAACAGATATTACTTAAGAACTTCATGATAACTGTAAATCATACATAACCTTTGCACAACTATGAAGTTATAGCCTAAGTCAACTCTGACTTTCAGCAGGGCTAAACTTATAAAGGTGTGTGTCAAACCCTTAAAAAACCGTACCTTTCAGAAGCATGTAATGGATACAATATCTAGGATTTGACTGTTCATGACTAATAATTAAGATATAGCAATGGAATTACGGCTGAGCTACAAATGTCAATTGCCCAGCTGGCTTAAAATATTATTATAGTTCTTGGTAGGAGGTGATAAATCAGAGTTCCCTCTGTAACCTAAAATGTTTTTGAAGATAAAGGAGCATTGTGGAAGTTACAAGGACAAAATGAAATTCCAGAAAGATGATCCTTTTTTCCTGAGGGCATCTACAGATCCTGGCAAAGAGGGAAACCAGCACAGGTTTAGGCAATTTCACAAAACTGTCATTATAAAGAGAAAACTAAATGACCCCTAACACATAGCTTATTTTCTCCCATATGAGGTTTTCTGAGTTCTAAGAAGGAAGACTGGAGACTAGAAGACAGTTAAAAAGGTAAACTCTCTGAGGTTTGGTGATTAAAGTCCCAAAGGAAATTGTAACTTTGCCATCAAGCACAAAACAATCTCATATACCCAAAAAGATATTTACCAGATCCTGAAGCTATGCATGGCTGAAGAACTAACTGCAAACTTTTTAAGAACAGAACTAAATCTCCATAGGTGCCTCAAGACTGAGGTAGCAGAAAAATGCCAAATCCTAAATTAAAAGCCTGAGAGGGCCATGACTAAGGAAAACAGATAAATCAAAGGTGGGCTGCTTAGCAACATGAACACAGCTCAATTCCTGCCCAGATTAAAGCAATCAATCTGCTCCTCCCAAACAGAAGTAAACTCAAATGTTGTGGAGGGAAAAATTATGTCACTTGTAACTTCCACACTTCTTTCATATGTAATGTCCAACATATAGTCACAATTTTTAAGATGCAAAAGGCAGGAAATTATGACAGAAAATGAAGAGAAAAATCTCAGTAAGTACATACACAGTATAGCAAACAAAGATCAAAAAGTAACTATTAGAAACATATTAAAAAATGAATTTATCATAGGAACAACTGACCAGAGAAAAGAAAGCCAAGAGTCTCTAGCTTTTATCCTAGGGTCTGTACTAGACTATAAAGGCAAAAAAGGGGAGAAGATGAAATGGAAGCTATTTGTGATCAATTCAACCTGAATCAAGACCATATTATGGGGCCTCCCCGGTGGTGCAGCGGTTGAGCGCTGGGTTGTGAAGCTGCCCGAGCCTCTGCATCGCCAGTTCGATCCCAGGCTGCTCCCCAGCCATCGGAGGAGGGTCCCGCATGGCGCGCAAACCTCTCCTGCCGCCCGCTGCTCCCCTTAGCAGTGTACTTCGGTCCTTCTGCCTGCTCTGCTCCCCGCTCTGGCTCTGGTGAATTCTCTCACCCTCCTGCGCTTCTGACTGTACCCAGTGCTTGTATAAATAAATAAATAAATAAATCTTAAAAAAAAAAAAAAAGACCATATTATGGATAAAGAAGTCTGATAAAAATCCAGGTCTTTAGCTTGAAATATTGGTTCACTGGTCCTATTTCTCACCAGATATTTAAAAAAAAAAAAAAAGACATTACAGTTCATGCATATAAAAACTTGTTTATTCTAGAAGGCGCAGTTCTAATACTGAAATTTTATGACATCTAAGTTGCAAATATACCCACATAATTCTCATCCGTAAATAAGACATCTTCAAATATTTGCCTGACAGATTTCCTTATTTAGTAGGAAACACTAATATAAATTCTCTGCCCTTCCAACTGACTATATTACTAGAGACAATTCTATGATCAAAGGATAAAAGACCCAACTACTAAAAATATAAATAATCACCTTTTTAAGAACCCTAAACCCGAATATTTTCATAGGAAAACTACCCAATAGAAATTTCCTTTTCTGAGAAGCAATCCCTTTGTCCATCTAATTGAAAACTACATCTTTCTATCTAATTAAGACATTTATTAAAGGAAGCCACCTAAGTACATCACTGAAAGGGACTCAAATCACCATTTTCTACTCTTTTTCATGGGTACTTTATATCTACTAACCAAACAATTCAAAAAAGGAGAAGTATCAATAAAATATGATAGTATACCTTGAGAAACAGAATTCTAATTGTTTCTTCAGACATTCTTTTAGTTCTTCTGTAGAAATTGCTGAATTGTTCTCTCCTGATGGTAGAAAACAAGAGAGATAAAGTTAGTACCAAGTTATCACAGGTAATGAACTTTACAGATTTGCTGTACTCAGAATTAAGCCACTAAATATCTACCAATTAAAATTCATCACAAATTGTATTACTTTTAGACCCAGATACTTTAATTTCTTTCAACCTATCTATTCGTAGATTTCATGTTAGTTTAAAAACTGTTTTATCGAATAATTACCAAGTACCATTAATACCAAAACACTGTCTTAAAATACTAAAGTGATACTTAAATGTGGTAATTACTTATTTAATAAAAACTCTAAAAACAAAAATAATGATCTAAATTTGAGGACTGAAACTAGGTAAATGAAGTGACAAACATAAACATATCCGTATCTGTATTATTGGTAGTAAATCTAAAGTCCTGGGCCTCCCTGGTGGTGCAAAGGGTTAAGTCACAGCACTGTGTAGCTGTCTGTAGCCACTGAAGCACGAGTTCAATCCCCAGCCAGAGAGCTGGCCCACACCTCTCCTTTCTTGCCTGCTGCTCTCCTCAGCAGTGTATTTCAGTAGTTCTGCCTGTTCTGCTCCCCACTCTGTTCCTGGTGAGTCCTCTCACTCCCTGCACCTCTGGCCTATACCCTAGCTCTTGTATGCGTAGATAAATAAAATGAATCTTAAACAATAGTCAGTTATACTCCTTATATGTCTCATAATACGTTTTTCTTTTCATTTCTTGCTTTTAGAATACTGTATCTTCCTAAATACATTTAAAGCACTCAAACATCTAAAGGCTCAGATCAACTTATCCCCTTCTTAAAAGCCCCTACCGATTAAGTAGGCTATTTCTTTTAAATACATAGACAATAGGATGTATATAAAGATAAGTATATTGTGGGCATGTGAGTTTACCACTATCATGTCTTACTACTAAAGATTCAAAGTTATATTAAACATAAATCATTAAAAATGAATATAAGAAGCATTCTCCGTCTATGTATATGTCAATCCTTCTCTGACAAAATTCATCAACCCAAATGCTAAATAAGCAGTAACTTCTTTTTAATTTTTCAATGTCATTATAGTAACTTGTTAAAGTAACAGACTGTACCACATCACTTAAACCAACTTTGTCAAAATAACCAGCAGTTAGGTATATTATAACTACAGTAGGAGTAGAACCTACTCCCTTAAATTGTATGAAAATACCACCCATTCCACTTCAATAATCAACTTAAAAGCTGACAGGTTTTAGAAATCTAATTAAATATTCATAATGTATGAGGAAACAAAGGGTAAAGGTTTATATATATATATATATATATATAAAAATATATATATATATATATTCACTTAAGTCAAAGAATTAAGCTTCAAAAGAAAGGTCTATTCCCTGTAACATTTATTTCCCAAATGAGACCCTTTAGAAATTAGAAAAATTAAGTTAGACAGTCAGGGCCTATGATCCACTTTCAACTTCTTTTAAATTTTGTCCAGTTTTAATGCAAGCGACTATTAATTCATGCTCATTAAATGAATGTGAAAAAAATATATTTCACAAGTTGAACTATATGCCTTTTCTCAAGATTAATTCCTGCAAGCTCATATTTATAAATATATTTCACACTGCCAAAAATGACAAGAACATTAATAGCACTTGTATTGATCCCATCTAATAAACTGAAATTTGGACTGTTCAAAAAATTAAAATTTACGTCTCTTCTCACTATTTTGACTATTTTTTTTCTTTTAGTTTTAATTTCAAATCTTTCATTAATACAATCTTTAAAGAAAACTTTTCTTTTAAATTGTGATTTTCGGGCCTCCCCGGTGGCGCAGTGGTGGAGCGCTGGGTTGCGAGGCTGCCCGCGGCCTCTGCGGCGCCGGTTCAATCCCCGGCTGCTCCCCGGCCACCGGAGGAGGGTCCCACATGGTGCGCAGACCTCTCCTGCCGCCCGCTGCTCCCCTCAGCAGTGTACTTCGGTCCTTCTGCCTGCTCTGCTCCCCGCTCTGGCTCTGGTGAATTCTCTCACCCTTCCGCGCTTCTGACTGTACCCAGTGCATGTATAAACAAAACAAACAAACAAGCAAACAAATAAAGAAAAACATGCCTCTATTAAAAAAAAAAAAAAAAAAATCTTTAAAAAAAAAAAAATAAATTGTGATTTTCATGTTTGGTCATTTAAAAATAGTATTTGTAACAATCATTAACATTTCATTAATATAAGCTTCTTTTCAAATTAGAATACACAGACTGATCAATGGCACAGGTTCATTGGAACACCACAAAGACTGTAGGAGGAAAAAAACTAGAGTAGTGAATTCTCATTTTATCAATAAAATCAAAAAAGTTTACCAGAAACATCATATATTTGGTAATTCAGATCTTCTGGCCCTAAAATCAATCCATCAGTTGATTCTTCAATGCCTGAAGAATTTCTTGTAGTTTCACAAGATGAATACATTACTTCATATTCCTTACACATATCATCTGAAAGCTCTGTATTACCTGTATTAAAGAAAACATACTGAAAGTAAACAGGTATTCTTTAAATCCTATTTTTCGGTACTCTGGACACTATGTCTTCTTTAACAACATTTCAAGGAATCTACCAGTTGGGGAAATGTGCACATGGTTTTAAGAGCTACCTTCTCAAGGGAGAGAAGGTGGACTATTATGGATAACCTAAATGATTAACAACTTAAAATTTCATAGCACTACCTAAGTATAAGAATGCTCCATATACTTTACTTAATTCTGAGAAAAATCCTATGCCAAAACATTATAGTTGCCATTACTTATAATTGCAGTTGAAGGAAATAAACATGGAGAAGTTTAGTCATTTGCCAAAGGTCAGTGAATAAATAGCACTGCTAATGATGGCATATCAAAACTAATTTACAAATACCCTAACATAATTGAGTTAAATAATGGACCCAAAGAGACAGCTATTTGAAATTGGTAATAATTCACTTATATTGGATATAAAAAAGTTATATACTAAACAAAAGTTAAACATTTATAAATATATTTAATCAACTGCATCCAAAATTCTATAAACTGGTTTGGCAATATTTTAACCAAAACATACTGTCCTGAAGAAATATTTAGCACTTACCCTCAGGATGAGACCCCGATGTGGCTGCTGTTTCATGCCAAGAGCTTTCAGTTCCATGAGTTACTGGAGTGGCATCGGCATTTCCTGAAGGAATTTCCTGCCATACTTTGGCATTAGGGTTTAAACCAGTTCCTTTAGATGTTACCTGCTAAACAATCAAAGGATTAGAAGTATTAGAAAACAGCACACTAAAATTATAAATTTAGATAAGATTTTCCCATTACTTGTATATGAGGAAAACTCTAACATCAAATAATAGCCAATAAAAAGTATTTTTTTTCTTTTTTTTAATTTTTTTTTAAATAGAGGCATGTTTTTATTTATTTATTTGTTTGTTTGTTTGTTTTGTTTATACATGCACTGGGTACAGTCAGAAGAGAGGGAGGACGAGGGAATTCACCAGAGCCAGAGCGCGGAGCAGAGCAGGCAGAAGGACCGAAGTACACTGCTGAGGGGAGCAGCGGGCGGCAGGAGAGGTCTGCGTGCCATGTGGGACCCTCCTCCAGTGGCCGGGAGCAGCCGGGGATCGAACCGGCGCTGCAGAGGCCGTGGGCAGCTTCGCAACCCAGCGTTCAACCTCTGCGCCACCGGGGAGGCCCAATAAAAAGCATTTAGTTCAGGCCTCCCCAGTGGCGCAGTGGTTGAGCACTGGGCTGCGAAGCTGCAAGGGTCCCGCAAGGCGCGCAGACCTCTCCTGCCGCCCGCTGCTCCCCTCAGCAGTGTACTTTGGACCTTCTGCCTGCTCTGCTCCCCGCTCTGGCTCTGGTGAGTTCTCTCACCCTCCTGCGCTTCTGACTGTACCCAAGGCTTGTATAAATAAATAAAAATAAATCTTAAAAAAAAAAAGTATTTAGTTCAACTTAAAAATAGAAAGCTTTTCGAGTAGATGGACTGGAAATATGTAGAGATACAAAATTTGGTTGACTATACAAAAAACATTCTCTATAAAATATTAATAAAGAAATACTATTTCTTAGTAAATAGTATTAAAATATTAATATAGAAATACTACTTTGCCCCAAGCTACTTGCAAATGTCATAAAATTTACTCAGACTATTGAAATATTTGACATTAGGGCCTCCCCAGGGGCACAGCGGTTGAGCGCTGGGTTGTGAAGCTGCCCGCAGCCTCTGCAGCGCCCGTTCGATCCCCGGCTGCTCCCCGGCCACCGGAGGAGGGTCCCACATGGCGCGCACACCTCTCTTGCCGCCCGCTGCTCCCCTCAGCAGTGTACTTCGGTCCTTCTGCCTGCTCTGCTCCCCACTCTGGCTCTGGTGAATTCTCTCACCCTCCCGTGCTTCTGACTGTACCCAGTGCTTGTATAAATAATAAATAAATAAATCTTTAAAAAAAAAAAAAAAAAAAGAAATATTTGACATTAGCATATGTTTGTGAATCTAGAGCAGATCTTTTAGTTTATCTAGAGCAACTATCCAGATTATAAAGTATGTAATTTCTACTGTCACCTAAACAGTGACAGAGAACTTGGAGACTGAATGATTCTTTCACTAGAAATTTTTTTTTCCAAGTCAGAAACAGAAATCTGCCTTATAGTGCATTTTTTCATTTGTCTTGAAAGTTCATGTTCTTAATGTCCACAACGTAACTAGTTAACATTGTGAGATCTAAAGTGATCTGGTGCATATAAAATCTAATTACAGACAAATACAAAGAAGAAATGATCATTGTGGTGGGGAAGATTATTAAAAAGTGGAGAGAAAGAAAGAAGGATGCATGAATACACTTTTCTCATCTCATTCAAACGAAGGGATTTGGTCCTTTTCAAGTACATTAATGATCCTTCATAAAGTTTGTTCTGGGGCCTCCCTGGTGGCACAAGGGGTTAAGACGCAGCACTATGAAGCTACCCGCAGCCACTGCAGCATGAGTTCGATCCCCAGCCAGGGAGCAATCCACATTGCCAGGCAGGCCTCTCCTGACTCACCCACTGCTCCCCTCAGCAGTGTATTTCAGTCCATCTGCCTGTTCTGCTCCCTACTCTGTCTCTGGTGAATCCTCTCACCCCCACACCACTGGCCTGCACTACAGTTCTTGTACGCATAAAATAAATAAATCTTTAAAAAAAAAAAAAAAAAGTTTGTTCCCTGTCCAGAAAGTCACCTTTAACTGCCTTCTCAGCCAAAGGCCCTCTTCTGGAAGGAAGATGTACCAGCCAGCAAGTGGTTCCAAAAGGCATGGAATTCAAATTTATGACTCACAGATATATATATACTGGGAATTCAGCTTTCATGAAAAATAACTAGCACACGCGGAGCCATTTCTTAGATTACCAAAAATAGTATCTACCTGCAAGGGTTCTTAAAAATGATCCTGTCTTGGGGCCTCCCCGGTGGCGCAGTGGTTGAGCGCTGGGTTGCGAAGCTGCCCGCAACCTCTGCGGTGCCGGTTTGATCCCCGGCTGCTTGCTCCCTGGCCACCGGAGGAGGGTCCCACATGGCGCGCAGACCTCTCCTGCCTCCCGCTGCTCCCCTCAGCAGTGTACTTCAGTCCTTCTGCCTGCTCTGCTCCCTGCTCTGGCTCTGGTGAATTCTCTCACCCTCCCGCCCTCCCGCGCTTCTGACTGTACCCAGTGCTTGTATAAATAAATAAATAAAAATAAATCTTAAAAAAATAAAGTAACAGAAGTTTAAAAAATTAAAAAAAAAAAAATGATCCTGTCTTGGGGCTCTCTGGTGGCGCAGGCGGTTGAGCGCAGCGCTGTGAAGCTGTCCGCAGCCTCTGCAATGCTGGTTCGATGCCCCGCCAGCCGTGGAGATACCCACATGGTGTGGCAGACCTCTCCTGTCTCGCCCGCTGCTCCCCTCAGCAGTGTATTGTGGTCAGTCTACCTGTTCTGTTCCCCACTCTGTCTATGGTGAATCCTTTCACCCTCCCGCACATCTGGCTTGTACCCTGGTTCTTGTATAAATAAATATTTAAAATAAATAAATAAAATGATCCTGGCTTATGGTATTTTTTTTTTTAAAAAATGGCCTTTAAGGTATCCCCAACACCAATTAATGGCCAACCAAAGCAGAACTCAAGGTAGACAGAACTGCAGAGTCCCTAAAATAGGTGCTGAGAGGATTCACCTTTTGGAAGATCTAACTGTATTTCCTACAATTAGATACCATGAAATCTTCTGTATCTTTCTAATACACCAATAGGAAAAATAAAGTACCACTTTACACTCATACACAATGGTCACAATCCAGATTACTACATCTGTAAAAGTATATAAACATATAGATATTGAGTACAAATTCACTATAATCCCTGGTATATGTATCAGGGATTTTCCCCTCCATAAAACATTCCACTTAAATGTTACCTACCTAAATGTGAGTCATAAGAAAATATGAAACTTAAAAAATAAAAAAGCCTATCAAACCTAACTGATTTTTCAAATCAGAATGTAAATGTTACAGTGTCTAATACATTTGTGACCATTTTCTTTGACCATCATTTTCTCTTGCATTTCACGCAAATCATTCAGGACTGTAATTTTTTTTCAGATTTATTTATTTATTTATACAAGCACTGGGTAGAGTCAGAAGCACAGGAGGGTGAGAGGATTCACCAGTGCCAGAGCAGGGAACAGAACAGGCAGACCAACACAACACACTGCTGAGGGGAGCAGTGAGCGCAGCAGGAAAGGTCTGTCATGCCATGTGGGACCCTCACCGGTGGCCGGGGATGGAATCGGCACTGCAGAGGCTGTGGGCAGCCTCGCAGCCCAGCGCTCAACCACTGTGCCACCAGGAGAGGCCTCAGGGTTGTAATTTTAATAGTTAACTCATACGCTGTGATTTCTCTGAAAATACCTTTATTTTTACACTCTACCTTTGCTGTATACAAAAATCTAAGCACATATTCACTTTCAGCACATTAAAGATATCCTCACTGCCTTTTATATTCCACTACTGCTAAGAAATTAGTCATTGTCTAGCTGTCATTCCTAATCTCTTTTCTCCTTGGTTGGTTAATCTGTCCATGTGTTCTGCAACTCTAACTTTAAGTGTGGAATTTTTTAAATTTATTCTACTTGGGATTGACTGAATTCTTTGAATTTTGATGCATCTTTTATCATGTCTGCAAAATTCTCAGTCACTATCTCTTCAAACATGGCCTTTTGACCAACTGCTCTATTACTCCTTTCTGAACTCCAACAAAATATTCCATCCCTTTTAATCTTATGTTCCAACTCTCTTTTTATCAATCTCTTTCCCTTTTCTCCATTTCATCTTTCTAAGGAATTACAATCTAAGATGCTATCCAACTTTTGCAGTAAGTTTCTAAGTTCTCATTTTATACAATTCATTTCTTTCTTTCTTTCTTTTAAAGATTTACTTATTTATACAAGCACTGGGAATAGTCAGAAGCACAGGAGGGTGAGAGAATTCACCAGAGCCAGAGCAGGGAGCAGAACACACTGACGAAATACAATGCTGAGGGGAGCAGTGGGAGCGGCAGGAGAGGTCTGTGCGCCAAGTGGGACCCTCGCCGGCGGCCAGGGATCGAACCGGCGCTGCAGAGGCTGTGGGTAGCTTCGCAGCCCAGCGCTCAACCGCTGTGCCACCAGAGGAGGCCCTACAGTTCGTTTCTTAAAGTTCATTTTGGTTCTTTTCTCAAATCTACCTGATCAGTGTTCATTTTGTGATATCTTTTCAGTATTTCCTTTTCTTCTGGCATATTAAATATTCTCATAGTCTATATTTCATAATTCTAATATTTGCAATCTCTGGCCTGTACCCCAGCTCTTGCATGCATAAATAAATTTTTAAAAATATATATTAACATTTTTAGTTGTTTCAATTAATATCTAAATCACATTTCTAAGAGAAGAACTACCTGTATTATATCAGTAAATCTAAAATGAAAAGCAATTTCAACACTTGAGAGACAACTATGGTTTAACAAGAAATTTTAATTTTATATTGTCAACCAGTAATTATGTCACCATTGGCCCCCAGTTTCCTCATTTCAAAAACGACTTCAACAAAACTCCTATAGTTTCTACATATGTTGGGTGCTTAACGTCATTTGTTTTGATCATCACTTCCTCTTTCTTCCCGTTATTTGTGCATACTTTGTTATTTAATAACGCTATAATAATTCATTTAATTATAAGTTCTTTGAGACCAGAC